AGCCCCTCCGCGAACACTCCGCCCCGCGTCTCTCCCGGTGCTGCACCGGCACCGGGACCCGCTTTGGGGCACCCCGAAGGGGCATCCAGGCCCGTTAAACCCCAGACCCTCGCCGTTAAACCCCAGACCCTCGCCGTTAAACCCCGCTCATCCCGTTAAACCCCGCCCTCGCCGTTAAACCCCAGGCCCTCGCCGTTAAACCCCGCCCATCCCGTTAAACCCCGCCCATCCCGTTAAACCTCAGGCCCTCGTCGTTAAACCCCGCCCTCGCCGTTAAACCCTGCCCATGCCGTTAAACCCCGCCCATCCCGTTAAACCCCGCCCATGCCGTTAAACCCCAGGCCCTCGCCGTTAAACCCCGCCCATCCCGTTAAACCCCAGGCCCTCGCCGTTAAACCCCGTCCATGCCGTTAAACCCCGCCCATCCCGTTAAACCCCGCCCCCTCGCCGGTAAACCCCGCCCCCTGCGCTAAGCCCCGCCCCTCTGAGCCGTTCCCGCCCCGTGATTGGCGCTCTGAGGGGCCACGCCCAGCGAGGCCCCGCCCCTCGCCCCGCCATGGCGCTCTCCGCGCTGCAGCGGGACCCGGCGGGCGGCGGCCGCTTCGCCTCCGCCGTGCCCGAGCCCTGCCGCCGCCTCCCCTGCGCGCTCGGCGTGGACGAGGCGGGCCGGGGGCCGGTGCTCGGTGAGCCCGGGAGGGGATCCCGCGGGGAACCGGCCCGGGGGAGAGGCTAAGCGTGGCGCGGAGAGGGGCCCGGTGCACCGGGGGTTGAGTTTGGGGGGGTCCCGGTGCACCGAGAGTTGAGTGGGAAGGGGCCCGGTACACCGGGGTTTGAGTTTGGGGGAGTCCCGGTGCACCGGGATTGAGTTTGGGGGGGTCCCGGTGCACCGGGGGATTGAGTTTGGGGGGGTCCCGGTGCACCGGGATTGAGTTTGGGGGGGTCCCGGTGCACCGGGGGATTGAGTTTGGGGGGGTCCCGGTGCACCGGGTGTTGAGTTTGGGGGGGTCCCGGTGCACCGAGAGTTGAGTGGGAAGGGTCTCGGTGCACCGAGAGTTGAGTGGGAAAGGTCGTGGTGCACCGGGGGTTGAGTTTGGGGGGGTCCCGGTGCACCGGGGGTTGAGTTTGGGGGGGTCCCGGTGCACCGGGATTGAGTTTGGGGGGGTCCCGGTGCACCGAGAGTTGAGTGGGAAGGGTCCCGGTGCACCGGGATTGAGTTTGGGGGGGGTCCCGGTGCACCGGGATTGAGTTTGGGGGAGTCCCGGTGCACCGGGCTCCTCTCTCACCCCCGGTGTCCCCGCAGGGCCGATGGTTTACGCGATCTGCTACTGCCCCGTGGACAAACTGGAGCAACTGGAGGCGCTGGGGGTGGCAGGTGGGGGGTCCCGGGGGTCCGGGGGGGGGTCCCGGGTGGGTTTGGAGGGTCCCGAGCAAGGGGCACGGAGCCCCGGGGATCCGGGGGGGGTGAGGGGGAGGGACGGGGTTGTCACAGGAACAGGGGTTTGGGAGTCTCGGGGGTGGGTTGGGAGTCTCGGGGGTGGGTTGGGGGTCCCGGGGGGTCCCGGGGGGGTCCCGGGGGGGTCCTCACCCCTCCCGGTGCCCCCAGACTCGAAGACGCTGTCGGAGGCGGAGCGGGAGCGGCGTTTCGGGCTCCTGGAGGCCGCGGGGGATTGGGTGGGGTGGGCGCTGCAGGTGCTGCCCCCCGACCACATCTCGGCCTGCATGCAGCAGCGGTGAGACCCCCCAGAGACCCCCCCAAAACCTCGGGGGTCCCCTGATTCTCGGGGAACGCCGCTCCCCCCATTTTTAACCCCTGTCTGCACCCCCCAAAACTCCCGTCCTGGCTCCTGCCGCCCCCCATCTCCCACCCCCCAATTTGGGGGTGCTGGGGGGGGGTGGGCTTCCAATTTGGGGGTGACGCCCCCCCCGAATCCCCCCCAGAGCCAAATACAACCTGAACGAGCTGTCCCACGACACGGCCACCGAGCTCATCCAGTTCGCGCTCGACTCGGGGGTGCAGGTGGCCCAGGTGGGATTTTGGGGACACGGGGGTGGCCCAGGTGGGATTTTGGGGACATGGGGGTGGCCCAGGTGGGGTTTTGGGGACACGGGGGTGGCCCAGGTGGGATTTTGGGGACACGGGGGTGGCCCAGGTGGGATTTTGGGGACACGGGGGTGGCCCAGGTGGGATTTTGGGGACATGGGGGTGGCTCAGGTGGGATTTTGGGGGGCCTGGGGGTGACCTAGGTGAGATTTTGGGGACATGGAGGTGGTCCAGGCGGGATTTTGGGGGGGCTGGGGTGATTTGGGGGATCCTGGGATGGTTTTTGGGTGATGCCGGGGTGATTTTGGGGGGTTCCTGGGTGATTTTGGGGTGTCCCGGGGCGCTCTGGGGTCCCCCAGGTGCTGGTGGACACGGTGGGGCCGGCAGAGAAGTACGAGGCGAAGCTGCGGCAGCGCTTCCCGGGGTTGGGGGTCACCGTGCGCCCCAAAGCCGACGCGCTGTTCCCCGTGGTCAGCGCCGCCAGCATCTGCGCCAAGGTGGGGCTGACCCCCCCTGGGAGTGACCCCCCCTCAGCGACACCCCAAAAACCTGATCTGAGCCCCCCGAGACCGATCCCCCCTCAGTGACACCCCAAAACCCTGAACTGAGCCCCCCGGGAGTGACCCCCCCTCAGCGACACCCCAAAAACCTGAACTGACCTCCCCAGCACTGATCCCCCCTCAGTGACACCCCAAAAACCTGAACTGACCTCCCCAGCACTGATCCCCCCCCACACCAATACCCCAAAAACCTGATCTGACCCCCCCCAGCACCAACACCCCCAAAAACGTAATCTGACCCCCCCCCCAGGACCCTCCCTCCCTTCCCAGAGCCCCCCATTGAATTTTGGGGGGAAGGGGGGGTGGGTGGGGCAGGACCCTCCCCTTCCCCTGACCCCCCCGTACCCCCCGTGCCCCCCTGACTCCCCGTACCCCCCGACCCCCCCGTACCCCCAGGTCGCCCGGGACCGGGCCGTGCTCCACTGGAACTTCGTGGAAGATTTGGGGGACCCCGACCGTGACTACGGCTCCGGATACCCCAACGGTGAGGGGGGGAGGGGCAGTTTTGAGCTTTTTGGGGGGTGGGGGTTCAATTTTGGGGTGCTCCTGACGCCCCCCCCCCCGTTTTTTGCAGACCCCAAGACCAAGGAGTGGCTGCGGAGGAACCTGGAGCCCGTGTTCGGCTTCCCCCGCCTGGTCCGGTTCAGCTGGGGCACGGCCCAGGCGCTGCTGCGGGACCGGGGGGTCCCGGTGCGCTGGTACGGGGGGGTACAGGGGGGCACGGGGAGCTCTGGTGGGCACGGGGGGTCCTGGGGGTCCTGGGGGGCACAGGGGGCTCGGGGGGCACAGGGGGCACGGGGGCACGGGGGTCCTGGGGGGCACAGGGGTCCTGGGGAGTACGGGGGGCACGGGGGGCACGGAGGGCACAGGGGGTCCTGGGGGGTACGGGGGTCCTGGGGGGTCCCGGTGTGCTGGTACAGGGGGGTCTTGGGGGTCACGGCGGTCCTGGGGGGCACGGGGAGCTCTGGGGGGCACGGGGGTCCTGGGGGGCACGGGGAGCACTGGGGGTCCTGGCAGGTCCCAGTGCAGTGGTATGGGGGGGTCTTGGGGGGCACGGGGGTCCTGGTGGTACAGGGGGCACTGGGGGGTCCTGGGGGGCACGGGAGGCACGGGGGGCACGGGGGTATGGGGGGGTCCTGGGGGGCACGGGGAGCTCTGGGGGGCACGGGGCACATGGGGGTCCTGGGGGGTCCCGGTGCGCTGGTTCCGGGGGTCTTGGGGGTCCCGGGAAGCACTGGGGGTCCTGGGGGATACAGGGGGTCTCGGTGGACTGGTATGGGGGGCACGGGAGTCCTGGGGGGTCCCGGTGCACTGGTACGGGGGGGTCCTGGGGGGCACGGGGGGGCACCGGGGGTCCTGGGGGGTCCTGGGGGGCATTGGGGGGCACGGGGGTCCTGGGGGGTACAGGGGGCACAGAGGGGTCCTGGGGGGGTGGGGGGGGACAAAGGGGGATGGTCCCTGTTGAACTGGGGGGGGTCCCACCGGTACGTTGGGGGGGTCAGGGTGGGGGGGTCAATGTTCCTCTCCCCTCCCCCCCCCCCCCAGGGCTGACGAAGACCCCCCAGAGGACCCCCCTGCCCCCCCCTCGGTCCTCTCCTACTTCGCCCGGAGCCCCCCCCGCCGCCCCCCCCACCGCTTCTTCCAGGAGCGCAGCCTGCGGCCCCTGGCCGAGCTCTGACCCCCCAAAAAGGGGAGACCCCCCCCCAAAATGAGCACCCGAACCCCGCCGATGTTTTCTAATAAAGCGTTTGAAATCACCCGAAATATCTTTTTTTTTTCTTTTTTTCCGCCGCGGTTAGGGGGGGATCGGTGGTTTTTGCCGGGGGGGGCTGGAGATGAAGGATTTTTGGGGGGAGGGGAGCTGTGCCTCCCCCCCCCCCCAAATCGGGTTCCTCCCACCCGTGGGGGGAGGGGACCCCCGGTGCCCCCCCCGGTGCCCCCCCCGGTGCCCCCCCCGGTGCCCCCCCCGGTTAATCAGCCCCGGCCCGAGGCCCGGAAAGCGCCGTGGCCTCAATCCCGGGGATTACGGGGGGGGGGTCACACCGGACGGGGGGGGGTCACCGGAGCACCCCAACCCCCCCGTTTAGGGCCCGTTTTTGGGGTGGGGGGGTTCAGCACCGGGAGGTCACCGATGGGGCGGGGGCGCGGGGGGGGGTGGTCGTGATGTGACCCAAATTACGGCGGGGGGGGGATGGGGGGGCGCAGACCCCTCCCCGCCGCCGTTCAGCACCGCGGACAGCGGGAACGGGGCTGGGGGGGGGGGGGGCACCGGGCCCGGTCCGACCGCCCCGCCGCGGGGGGGCGCCCCCGGTGCGCGGGGCTGGGCGGGGCCGGGGCGGGGCCGGGGGCGGCGCCTCCCGGGGGTCCCGGGCGATGGCGGAGGGCGGCTGAACGGGGGGGGGGCTGCGGGTACCGGGGGTTGCCGGGGAGGGGGGGACAGCGAGGCCGGGACCCCCCCGCACCGGCACCGGCACCGGCACCGGCACCGGCACCGGCACCGGCACCGGCACCGGCGCCATGGATGACTCGGACGTGATCCGCCGCCGGCGGCTGCAGGTAGCGGCCGTTCGGTACCGGGGGTTCGGTACCGGCGGGGATTGTTATTGATTGGATGGAGTGGACACCGGGGAGATGGCGGTACCGGTACCGGAATCGGTAGCGGGGGTTCGGTACCGGGCTCGGGAGTGAGGTGTCCGTTCCGGGAGGGTAACGGGTATCGGCAGGGGGTCGGTACCGGGCGGGATGCCGGTACCGGAGGATGCGGGGCTCGGTCTCGGTGGGTATCGGTTGGTACTGGAATGAGGTGATCGGTACCGGAGGGACCGGATCGGCACCGGGCACTGCAGGCCCGTCCGCAGGGGGTGCAAGCGCAGGGCGGTACCGGCCGGGGGGGGCAGCGCAGCGCCGGTACCGGGAAGGTCGGTCCGGGCGCGGTCAGCACCGGGTGGGGGGGGGGCGATGCGGGTCCGGTACCGGAGGGCGTTGCGGGCCCGGGGGTATCCGGAGCCCCCCGATCCAGTGGGGTTCGGCCATCGGGCGGCCCCGGGAGGGGGGGGACGAGGCCGCGGAGCCCCCCCGGGCTCGGTCCGGGCCGCCCCCCACCCGGTGCCCCCCCGTTGCAGAAGGAGCTGCCGCTGCCGCGGAAGAGCAGCAGGTGAGACCCCCCCGTGCCCCCCATTGCGCCCCCAAACCCCGCCCGGGCCCCGCCCACTGCAGCCGCCGCGGCCCCCCCGCCCCCCCCCCCCCGCCCCGCCGCCGCCCCGGACCCCCGGAACCCCCCCGGAACCCCCCCAGAACCCCCCGGAGCCCCCCGATGCCGGTCCTGGTGGGCAGCAGCATGTTCCGCCGCACCAAGAGGTACCGGGGGGCTCGGCCTTCCTCCCGAGCCGCCCTCATCCTCATCCTCATCCTCCATGTCCATCCTCAGCCTCCATCTCCGGGCTCAGCCTTCATCCTCATCCTCCGCCACCTTCATCCCCGCTCCATCCTCATCCTCGCCCTCCTTCGTCCTCGTGTTCGTCCCCCTCCCATCCCCATCCTCATCCTCATCCTCATCCTCATCCTCATCCTCATCCCCGTCCTCATCTTCATCCTCCTCCCCCCTCCTTCCCCATCCTCATCCTCATCCTCATCCTCATCCTCATCCTCATCCTCATCCTCATCCTCATCCTCATCCTCATCCCCATCCTCCTCCTCATCCTCATCCCCATCTTCATCCCCATCCTCATCCTCCTCCTCCCCCCTCCTTCCTCCCCCTCCCTCTCCATCCTCATCCTCCCCCCGACCCCCCCGGCCGCCGTTCCCCCCCCCCCCCCCGTTCTTGCCCCTCGACATTTTGGGGAGGGGGAGGTGGGGGTTGGGGATGCCCCCCTCCCCCCCAGCCTAGTGACGTTTGGGGGGGGGGTCCGTGTGTGGGGGGGGGTCTCGGGGGTCCTGACCCCCCCCGCCCCCCCCCAGCTGCCGCACGAACAACCGGAAGAGCCTAATCCTGACCAGCACCTCCCCCACCCTCCCGCGGCCCCACTCGCCGCTGCCCGGACACATCGGTGAGACCCCCGGGACCCCCGGGACCCCCGACCCCTCCCCGGTATCTCCACACCCACCGGAGCCCGCCGACCCCTCCCCGGAATCACCCGAACCGCCCCCCCCACAACGCCCTGACACCCTCCCGGTGTCCCCAAATCCCCCCGATGTCCCCAGCCCCTCCCCCCGCGATGTCCCCAACCCCTCCCCGGTGACCCCAACCCACCCCGCGAGTCCCCCGGACCCCTGCCACCGTCCCCAGAGACCCCCGGTGTCCCCAAATTCCTCCCCCGGTGACCCCAACCGCCCCCCGGTGTCCCCAAATTCCTCCCCCGGTGTCCCCAAACCCCCCTCAGTGTCCCTAAATTCTTCCCCGATGTCCCCAAATTCCCCCCCGGTGTCCCCACATCCCCCCCCGGTGTCCCCACATCCCCCCCCGGTGTCCCCACATCCCCCCCCGATGTCCCCAATCCCCCCCCGGTGTCCCCAAATCCTTTTGGGGTCTCCCCAACATCCCCCCCGGTGTCCCCACATCCCCCCCGGTGTCCCCATATCCCCCCCCCGGTGTCCCCAAATTCCCCCCGATGTCCCCAAATCCCCCCCAGACCCCCCCAAACTGCCGGGACCCCCCCCATGACCTGTGGGGACCCCCTCCCCCATCCCTGGGGTCCCTCCTGCCCCCCCCTTTTCCCCGGGGCGTGGCCGATCTCTTGGCCCCGCCCACCGGCGCGGGGAGGGCGTGGCCTGTCGGGGCGTGGCGGTGACGTCACGCTCACCTGTGCGCAGGTAGCAGCCCCCTGGACAGCCCCCGCAACTTCTCCCCGAGCGCCCCCGCGCACTTCTCCTTCGGCCCGTCCCGCCGGTGAGCGGGACACCGGGACACCGGGACACCGGGGGGACACCGGGACACCGGGGGGACACCGGGACACCGGGGAGACACCGGGGGGACACCGGGACACCGGGACACCGGGACACCGGGACACCGGGGGGACACCGGGACACCGGGACACCGGGGGGACACCGGGGGGGGCACCGGGACACCGGGACACCGGGACACCGGGGGGACACCGGGGGGGACACCGGGACACTGGGGGGACACCGGGACACCGGGACACCGGGACACTGCGGGGACACCTGGACACCGCGGGGACACCGGGGGGACACCGGGGGGACACCGGGGGGACACCGGGACACGTGGGGGGGTCTCCGGGGACAGTCTGGGGGGGTGTCACTGGGCTCCGGGGGTGCCCGGGGGTGCCCGGGGGTGCCCGGGGGTGCCCGGGAGTGTCCGGGGGTGCCCTGGGGTGCCCGGGGGTGCCCGGGGGTGCCCGGGGGTATCCGGGAGTGTCCGGGGGTGTCCGGGGGTGCCCGGGGGTGCCCGGGAGTGTCCGGGGGTGCCCGGGGGTGCCCGGGGGTATCCGGGAGTGTCCGGGGGTGCCCGGGGGTGCCCGGGGGTGTCCGGGGATGCCCGGGGGTGCCCGGGGGGGTGTCGGGGTGTCGGTGTCGGGGTCCCTGACCGGCCCCCCCAGGGCTGACGGGCGCCGCTGGTCGCTGGCCTCGCTGCCCTCCTCGGGCTATGGCACCAACACCCCGAGCTCCACGGTCTCGGTGAGTCGGGGGGCCCGGGACCCCCAGAGACCCCCGGGGCTGGGGCAGGGCGAGGGGTTTGGGGGGGGGGGGACGGGCGAGGGGGTCCGTGCTGGGTCTGGGGGGACTGGGGGGGCTCTGGGGGTCCGGGGGTGCTTTGGGGGTTCCGAGGTGGGCTGACCCGGGGGTCAGGGTGATTTGGGGATCCCGGGGTGGGGTGGCTCGGGGGTCCCGGGGGTCAGGGTGATCTGGGGGTCCCGGGTGGGCTGCCCCGGGGGTCAGGGTGATTTGGGGGTCCCGGGGGTCCCGAGGGTCAGGGTGATTTGGGGGTCCCGGGGTGGGCTGTCCCGGGGGTCCCGGGGATTTGGGGGTCCCGGGTGGGCTGTCCCGGGGGTCCCGGAGATTTGGGGGTCCCGTGTGGGCTGAGCCGGGGGTCAGGGTGATTTGGGGGTCCCGGGTGGGGTGTCCCGGGGGTCAGGGAGATTTGGGGGTCCCGGGTGGGCTGTCCCGGGGGTCAGGGTGATGTGGGGGTCCCGGGTGGGCAGCCCCGGGGGTCAGGGTGATCTGGGGGTCCCGGGGTGGGGTGGCTCGGGGGTCCCGGGGGTCAGGGGTGATTTGGGGGTCCCGGGGTGGGGTGACCCGCGGGTCCCGGGGGTCAGGGGTGATTTGGGGGTCCCGTTGGTGACGCGGGCGCGCAGTCCTCGTGCTCGTCGCAGGAGCGGCTGCACCAGCTGCCGGCGCAGCCCACGGCCGAGGAGCTCCGGTTCCTGTCCCGCCACTTCGGCAGCTCCGAGAGCCTCGCCGAGGAGGAGGGGGGGGCCCGGGGGGGCGCGGCCGCCCCCCGACCCCGCTCCCGCAGCCTCAGGTGCGCCCGGGCTTCGGGGGAAACCGGGGGAGGGTTTGGGTGAAATTTTGGGGGGATTTGGGTGAAATATGAGGGGGATTTGGGTGAAATTCAAAGGGGGATTTGGGGGAATGGTGGGGGGGAATTGGGGGGAATTTGGGGGAATTTGGGGCGGGATTTGGGTGAAATTTGGGGGGCTTTAGAGGGGGATTTGAGGGGGATTTGGTGGGGAAGGCGGGGAGGAATTGGGGGGAATTTGGGGGGATTTGGGTGAAACTTGGGGGGGATTTGGGTGAAATTCAAGGGGGATTTGAGGGGGATAGTGGGGGGGAATTGGGGGCGGGATTTGGGTGAAATTTGAGGGGGATTTGGGGGAGATAGTGGGGGGGAATTGGGGGGAATTTGGGGCAGGATTTGGGTGAAATTTGGGGGACTTTAGAGGGGGATTTGAGGGGGATTTGGCAGGGAAGGCAGGGGGGAATTGGGGGGAATTTGGGGCGGGATTTGGGTGAAATTTGGGGGGGATTTGGGGGGATGGTGGAGTGGAATTGGGGGGGATTGTGGGGGGATTTGGGGGGGTTCATTGCGGGGTTGGGGACAGCAGGGGGACACTGTGGGTTTTCGGGAGGGGCCGGGATTTGGGGCTCACCCAAACTCGGGGGACAGTGGGGCGACACCGTGGCCGTCGGGGGGTGGAACCGGAGGGTGCTGGGGGGGGGGACAGCGGGGGTCCCGCGGGTGCCAGCCGTGCCCCCTGTGCCAGCCCCGGGCGCTCGCCCTCGTCCCACGACAACGAGATCGTGATGATGAACCACGTGTACAAGGAGAGGTTCCCCAAGGTGGGGCTGGGGGCTCTGGGGGGGCACTCGTGGGGTCCTGGGGTGCCCTGGGGGGGGCTGTGCGTGGCCAAGGGGCGGTTTTGGGGTTTCAGGGTGCCTGGGGGGGGCCATGGGGTTGTTATGGGGGATGTGGTGTGGCCGTGGGGGCAGTTATGGGGTCGGTGTGGGGTGGCCGTGGGGGAACTGTGGGTGCTATGGGGTCACCGTGGGTGCCATGGGGTCACTGTGGGTGCCATGGGGTCACTGTGGGATCCCCGCATGGTCACGGCGGGGTCACTATGGGGTCCCCGCATGGTCACGGCGGGGTCACTATGGGATTCCTGCATGGTCACGGCGGGGTCACCACGGGGTCCCCGCATGGTCACACTGGGGTCACCGCGGGGCTCCATGGTGTCCCCACATGGTCACGCTGGGGTCACCGTGGGGTTCCGTGGGGCGCAGGCCACGGCGCAGATGCAGGAGCGGCTGGAGGAGTTCGTGCGCGGCTGCGGCCCCGGCGGGACCCCCCTGGCCGACGGCGCCCTGAGCTTCATCCAGCACCAGCTGGTGGAGCTGGCGCGGGACTGCCTGGGCACGGCACGGCTCGGGCTGCTGAGCGCCGGCTACTTCGGAGAGCTGCAGGAGAACATGGAGCGCCTGCTGCGGGACGTGAGCGGGGCTAATCGGGGCTAATCGGGGATAATTGGGGCTAATTGGGGCTAATTGGGGCTAATGGGGACCAAAGGGGGCCAATGAGGGCCAAAGGGGCTCGGGCTGCTGAGCGCCGGCTACTTCGGAGAGCTGCAGGAGAACATGGAGCGCCTGCTGCGGGATGTGAGCGGGGCTAATCGGGGCTAATTGGGGCTAATTGGGGCTAATTGGGGCTAATTGGGGCAATGGGGACCAACGAGGGCCAATGGGGGCCAAAGGGGTTCGGGCTGCTGAGCGCCGGCTACTTCGGAGAGCTGCAGGAGAACATGGAGCGCCTGCTGCGGGATGTGAGCGGGGCTAATCAGGGCTAATCGGGGCTAATTGGGGCTAATTGGGGCTCATGGAGACCAATGGGGACCAAAGGGGGCCAGCGGGGAATAACGGGACCAGTGGGAGCCAATGGGGGCCAACGGGGCCTGGCAGGGACCAGCAGGACTCAATGGGACCCAATAGAACCCAAAAAGAACAAAAGGGACCCAAAAGGGACCCAAAGGGACCCAAAAGGGACCAGAGGGGACCAACGGGGTCTGGGAGGATCCAAAAGCCCCAACGGGGCTCAGCAGGAACCCGAGGGACCTCCCCCCAGTGTCCCCTGTGTCCCCCCCTGACCCCCCGATGTCCCCTCAGGCCTACGAGCGCTCCGAGTCGGAGGAGGTGGCCTTCATCACCCAGCTGGTGAAGAGGCTCCTCATCATCATCTCCCGGCCCGCACGCCTGCTCGAGTGCCTGGTGAGGCCCTGGCACCTGTCCCCGAGCCCTCACCTGTGCCCCCCTCACCTGTGCCCTGTCCCCGAGCCCTTACCTGTGCCCCCCTCACCTGTGCCCTGTCCCTGCCCCCTCACCTGTGCCCTCCTCGCCTGTGCCCCCCTCACCTGTGCCCTGTCCCCAAACCCTCACCTGTGCCCCCCTCACCTGTGCCCCCTCACCTGTGCCCCCCTCACCTGTGCCCCCTCACCTGCAGGAGTTCGACCCCGCGGGGCTGTCCCAGCTGCTGGCGGCCACCGCGGGCCGGGCCGAGGGGCCCCTGCGAGCCGACACCCCCCGGTACCTGCTGAGACAGCTGGGCCGGGCACGGGGGGCACGTGCAGGTACGGGCACACCTGGGGCACACCTGGGGGGAACCTGGGGAGAACCTGGGGGGGCAGGTGTGGTGGGACAGGTATGGAGTGGGGGGGTCTGGGGCACGGTGGGGACACAGGCACCTATGGAGGGACACACCTGTGCCCCCCGTGCCCCCCCACACACCTGTGCCCCCCGTGCCCCCCCAGACATGCTGCACCTGGAGGAGCCCGACAGCAGCGGCACCAACACGCCGGAGCCCGAGGAGGGGGCTGAGGTGGGCGCTACCCCCCGTGTCCCTCACCCGTGTCCCCCCGTGTCCCCCCGTGTCCCCCCATGTCACCTGTCCCCCCCCAGGGCCGCACCACCCTGCCCCGGCCCAAGGAGCCGCCAGGTGAGAGCGACTTTGAGACCATCAAACTCATCAGCAACGGCGCCTACGGGTGAGCCCCGGGGTACGGGGGTACCGGGGGTACCAGGGGGTACCGGGGGATACCGGGGGTACCGGGGGTACCGGGGGAGTACCGGGGGAGTATCGGGGGAGTACCTGGGGGTACCAGGGGGTACCTGGGGGTACCGGGGATGTACCTGGGGGTACCGGGGGGTACCGGGGATGTACCTGGGGGTACCGGCGGGTACCGGGGGGTACCGGGGATGTACCTGGGGGTACCGGGGGGTACCAGGGGAGTACCTGGGGGTACCGGGGGGTACCGGGGGAGTACCGGGGGGGTACTGGGGTGTACCAAGGTGTACCGGGGGAGTACCGGGGGGGTACCTGGGGGTACCGGGAGGTACCGGGGGGTACCGGGGGGTACCGGGGGGTACCGGGGGAGTACCGGGGGTGTACCAAGGTGTACCGGGGGGTACCAGGGGGTACCGGGGATGTACCTGGGGGTACTGGGGATGTACCTGGGGGTACCGGGAGGTACCTGGGGGTACCGGGGGTACCGGGGGGTACCGGGGGGTACCGGGGGGTACCGGGGGAGTACTGGGGGGGTACCGGGGGGTACCTGGGGGTACCAGGGGGGTACCTGGGGGTACCAGGGGGTACCAGGGGAGTACCGGGGATGTACCTGGGGGTACCGGGGGGGTACCTGGGGGTACCAGGGGTGTACCGGGGAGTACCTGGGGGTACCGGGGAGCCCCGGGGCCGTGCTGTGACTGGTCCCCGCGGCAGGGCGGTGTAGCTGGGGGTACCGGGGTGGGTATCAGCGGGTACCGGGGAGCCCCGGGGCCGCGCCGTGACCCGTCCCCCCGGCAGGGCGGTGTACCTGGTGCGGCACACGGCCACGCGGCAGCGCTTCGCCATGAAGAAGATCAACAAGCAGAACCTGCTGCTGCGGAACCAGGTGCAGCAGGCCTTCGTGGAGCGCGACATCCTCACCTTCGCCGAGAACCCCTTCGTGGTCAGCATGTTCTGCTCCTTCCAGACCCGCCGCCACCTCTGCATGGTCATGGAGTACGTGGAAGGTGCGGCCCGCGCCTCGCGACGGGGCCGGGGAGTCGCAATAGGGCTGGGGAGTCGCGATAGGGCCGGGGCACTGCGTAATGGGGGATTGGGTGTTGGGGTATCGGGGCGCGTGTCGGGTTATGGGGATGGATATCACGATATGGGGCTGGGTATCACGATATGGGGCTGGGGAAATTATTTTAATAACTATCTCAATGTCCCCCTATGTCCCCATGTTCCCCCATGTCCCCCATGTCCCCAATGTCCCCATGTCCCCCATGTCCCTGATGTGCCCAATGTCCCCCATGTCCCCAATATCCCCCATGTCCCCAATGTCCCCAATGTCCCCATGTCCCCAATGTCCCCAATGTCCCCAATATCCCCAATGTCCCCAATATCCCCCATGTCCCCAATGTCCCCAATGTCCCCAATGTCCCCAATGTCCCCAATGTCCCCATGTCCCCAATGTCCCCGATATCCCCGATATCCCCGATGTCCCCCCATATCCTCCATGTCCCCAATGTCCCCATATCCCCAATGTCCCCATGTCCCCATGTCCCCGATGTCCCCAATATCCCCGATGTCACCCCATATCCTCCATGTCCTCAATGTCCCCATGTCCCCTGATGTCCCCAATGTCCCCCATGTCCCCTGATGTCCCCAATGTCCCCCATGTCCCCAATGTCCCCCATGTCCCTGATGTCCCCATGTCCCCAATGTCCCCGTGTCCCCTGATGTCCCCGTGTCCCCTGATGTCCCGGTGTCCCCGGTGTCGCAGGCGGGGACTGTGCCACGCTGCTGAAGCACATCGGGGCGCTGCCGCTGGAGCTGGCCCGGCTGTACTTCGCCGAGACCGTGCTGGCGCTGGAGTACCTGCACACCTACGGCATCGTGCACCGCGACCTCAAACCCGACAAGTGCGCCGGGGGGGCACGGGGGGCACGCCCGGGCTCACCTGGGCACAGCTGGGCTCACCTGGGCTCACCTGGGCTCACCTGGGCTCGCCCGCGCCGCCCCCCAGCCTCCTGATCACCTCGCTGGGCCACGTGAAGCTGACGGACTTCGGCCTCTCCAAGATGGGGCTGATGAGCCTCACCACCAACCTGTACGAGGGGCACATGGAGAAGGACGCGCGGGAGTTCCGCGACAAGCAGGTGGGTGCCAGGTGTGCCAGGTGTGCCCAGGTGTGCCCAGCTAGGTTCTGCAGGTGTGCCCAGGTGTGCCATGTGTGCCAGGTGTGCCCAGGTGTGACATATGGGTGCTGCAGGTTTGCCCAGGTGTGCCCTGGTGGGTGCCCAGGTGTGCCAGGTGTGCCCAGGTGTGCCCAGCTAGGTTCTGCAGGTGTGCCCAGGTGTGCCAGGTGTGCCAGGTGTGCCCAGGTGTGCCCAGCTAGGTTATACAGGTGTGCCCAGGTGTGCCCAGGTGTGTCCAGCTAGGTTCTGCAGGTGTGGCCAGGTGTGCCATGTGTGCCCAGGTGTGCCAGATGGGTGCTGCAGGCGTGCCCAGGTGGGTGCCCAGGTGGGCCAGGTGTACTAGGTGTGTACTGCAGGGGTGCCCAGGTGAGTGCCCAGGTGTGCCATATGGGTACTGCAGGTGTGCCAGGTGTGCTAGCTAGGTGCCCAGATGTGCCAGCTGTGCCAGATGGGTGCTGAGGGTGCACCCAGGTGTGCCAAGGTGGGTGCCACAGGTGTGCCAGGTGTGCCCAGGTGTGCTAGGTGTGTACTGCAGGTGTGCCCAGGTGTGCCCAGGTGTGCCAGGGCAGGGTGGGGTGGGCTCAGGGTGGCGGGTGTGCCCGCTCCGTGTCCCTGAGCCCACCTGTGCCCAGGTGTGCGGCACCCCCGAGTACATCGCGCCCGAGGTGATCCTGCGCCAGGGCTACGGGAAGCCCGTGGACTGGTGGGCCATGGGCATCGTCCTCTACGAGTTCCTGGTGGGCTGCGTGCCCTTCTTCGGGGACACCCCCGAGGAGCTCTTCGGGCAGGTGATCTCAGGTGTGGCCCTGGGGGGACACGGGGGTGGGACACGGGGGGTGACACAGGGCAGGTGAGCTCAGGTGTGACCCTGAGGGGGACACGGGGCAGGTGAGCTCAGGTGTGGCCCTGGGGGGACACGGGGGGGACACGGTGCAGGTGATCTCAGGTGTGGCCCTGGGGGGACACGGGGGGGACACGGGGGGGACACGGGGCAGGTGATCTCAGGTGTGACCCTGAGGGGACACCGGGGGGACAATAGGGGGGACACGGGGCAGGTGAGCTCAGGTGTGGCCCTGGGGGGACACGGGGGGGACACGGGGCAGGTGAGCTCAGGTGTGACCCTGAGGGGGACATGGGGGGGACACAGGGGGGACACGGGGCAGGTGAGCTCAGGTGTGGCCCTGGGGGGACACAGGGGGGACACGGGGGTGGGACACGGGGGGGGACACGGGGCAGGTGAGCTCAGGTGCGGCATGGTGGGGGACACGAGGACACGGCAGGATGGGCACTTGGGGTGGCATGGGGGACACAGAGGGGACATGGAGACAGGACAGGTGACCCCAGTTCTGGGGTCTATGCTCAGCTGTCCCCCCCGTCTCCCCCCCGTGTCCCCCTCGTGTCCCCCCCATGTCCCCCCGTGTCTCCCCGTTTCCTCCCATGTCCCCCCCATGTCCCCCCGTGTCCCCCCGTGTCCCCTCCATGTCCCCCCACGTCCCCCCGTGTCCCCCCGTGTCCCCCCCAGACGAGATCCTGTGGCCGGAGGGGGACGAGGCGCTGCCCCCGGACGCGCAGCACCTCATCTCCTGCCTCCTGCAGCCGGACCCGCTGCGGCGCCTCGGGGCAGGTCAGACCCCCCCCCCCCCCACCCCAGGACCCCCCTGGGACCCCCCGGGACCCCCCAGACTCCCCCGGGCCCCCCTGAGCCGGCGCTGCCGCGCAGGGGGGGCTCAGGAGGTGAAGGCTCACGGCTTCTTCGCCGCGCTGGACTGGACGGGGCTGCTGCGGCAGAAAGCCGAGTTCGTGCCGCACCTGGAGTCCGAGGAGGACACCAGTTACTTCGACAGTGAGAGACCCCCGGGACCCCCCACCCCGGGACCCCCCTGGGACATCCCTGGGGTTCCCCTTGGATCAGCCCTGGGACCCCCTGGGACAACCTGGGACACCCCTGGGACACCCTGGGACACCCTGGGACACCCCTGGAATATCCTGGGACTCCCATGGCACCCCCTGAGACCCCCCTGGGACCCCCTGGGACCCCCTGGAACACCCTGGGACACCCTGGGACCCCCTGGGACCCCCTGGAACATCCTGGGACCCACCTGGAATATCCTGGGACCCCCTGGGACCCCCCTGGAATATCCTGGAACATCCTGGGACCCCCCTGGAATATCCTGGGACACCCATGGCACCCCCTGAGACCCCCCTGGGACCCCCTGGGACACACCTGGAACATCCTGGGACACACCTGGAATATCCTGGGACCCCCTGGGACCCACCTGGGACCCCCCTGGGACACACCTGGAACATCCTGGGACCCCCTGGAACATCCTGGGACACCCTGGAACATCCTGGGACACACCTGGAACATCCTGGGACCCCCTGGGACCCCCCCCCAGTCCCTCCCAGGCCCTCCGTGGGGTTCCTCCCCCCTCGGGGGTCCCTCTAAGGGTCCCCGTCCCCCCCAGCGCGCTCGGACAGGTACTCCCACGTGGCGTCCTACGAGGACGAGGACACGACGGAGGATGAGCCCGTGGAGATCCGGCAGTTCTCGTCCTGCTCGCCCCGTTTCAGCAAGGTGGGGCTGGGACAGGGGACAGGGACAGGGACAGGGATGGGACAGGGATGGGACAGGGACAGGGACAGGGACAGGGATGGGACAGGGACAGGGACGGGGATGGGACAGGTGGGCACGGGGGGGGTGGGGGCACACAGGTATGGGGAGGGGGTGCCGGAATTTGGGTGACGCGGGGGACTGGCGGCAGCGGGGACGGTCCCGTGGGACTCCGGTCGGACGGTGGCCGTGCGAGGCGTGCCCAGCGGTGCCCAGCCGTGCCCAGCCGTGCCCAGCCGTGCCCAGCTGTGCCCAGCTGTGAGCAGCTGCGCTCCTGCAGGTCTACAGCAGCCTGGAGCAGCTCTCGCAGGAGCCCAAGCCCAAGGGGCGCCCGCGGGACGAGGGGAGACGCGACGGCTTCGCCCGGGAGCGCGGCTGGAGAACGGGATCGCCTGAGCTGTGCGCACCGGGGGGAACCGGGGGGGACCGGGGGGAGCGGCCCGGGCCGCGCAGGGGTCCCTGACCCCCATCCCCACCCGTGTCCCCGCAGGAAGCACCGCTCGGCGGGCGAGGGGCCGCCCCCCGAGGCCGAGGGCAGCTCCCCACCGGGCGCCCGCCGCCGCTTCTCGGCGCTGCTGGAACCGGCGCGCCCCAACGGCGGCCGCGAGGGAGCCCCGGACGGAGCCGGCGAGGAGCCCGGTGCGTCCCGGAAAAGCGGGGAGGGGTCCCCGGCCTGCCCCGGGTCCCCTCACCGCCCGTGTCCCCTCCCGTCCCCAGCGCCGCGGGCCGCGGAGCCGCCCCCCGCCCGCACCGAGCTGGGGCTGCGGCGGCCGCGGCACCCCGGGGTGGCCCCCGCCGAGCCCGGGGGGGACAAGCGCAGCCCCCGCGCCCCCGGGAAGGTCACCAAGTCGGCGTCGGCCACCGCGCTGTCCGTCATCATCCCCAGCGGTGGGTGACACCCCAAATCCCCCCGGCACCCCCCATTCCCAGGGATCTCTTCCCAGAGACCCCAAATCCTCCCGGGACCCCCCTAAAGGACCCTCCCCGAAGGACCCCAAACACCCAGGGACCCTTCCACCCCCCCCGGGTCCCCGCGGGAGGGGGGCTGGGGGTCTCCGGGGGGGTGGTGGGACCCCCGACCCCGTGGATTTGGGGTCTCCCATGGGGTTTCTGTGGGTGGTGGGACCCCGTGGATTTGGGGTCTCCGGGGGTTCTGTGGGCGGTGGGACCCCCAGCCCCACGGGTGGGGTATTCCCGGTCCCGGGGGGTGGCAGCGGTGCCCGTGGGGTCTCCCTGGGGGTTTTTGGGGTGGCGGTCAGCGGGGTCTGGGGGCGCAGGGGAGGCGCCCGGCTCGTCCCCCCTGGGCAGCCCCATGTCCCCGCGGTCGCTGTCGTCGGACCCGTCGTCGCGGGACTCGTCACCGGGCCGGGAACTGGCCCCGGCCGTGGCCGCCCCGCCGCGCTCGCCCATCGCCATCCCCCGGCCCGGCAAGAAATTCGGCTTCACCCTCCGCGCCATCCGCGTCTACCTGGGCGACAGCGACGTGTACAGCGTGCACCACGTCGTCTGGGTCAGGGACACCGGGGACACCGGGGGGACACCGGGGGGACACCGGGGGGATACCGGGGGGATACCGGGGGGACACCGGGGGGATACCGGGGGGACACGGGAACAGCGAATTTTTGGATTTTTGGGGCTCCGCGGTCCGGAATGGGGATGGGGAGGGGGAACATGGGAGGGGGGACAAGGGGGGACAGGGTTTGTGTTGGGGGTGGCAGCGCCCGGTGTCATTTGGGCCCGGGGACACCGCGGGGCGATGGGTGGGGGACAAGTGGGGACCCCGATTTGGGGAACACGGTGGGGCGGGGAGGGGGGTCCGGGGTGTCACATCGTGCGCCGTGGGTGACCCCGTTTTTGGGGGGCAGCACGTGGAGGAGGGCGGCCCCGCGCAGGAGGCCGGGCTGTGCGCCGGGGACCTGATCACGCACGTTAACGGGGAGCCGGTGCACGGGCTGGTGCACACCGAGGTGGTGGAGCTCATCCTCAAGGTGGGGGCACCGGGGGGTGAGTCCCGGTGTGTGGGGCGGTGGGGCGGGTGTCGGGGGTCGCGGTCGTGACGCGCTGTCACCCAGAGCGGGACGAAGGTGTTGGTGACAACGACGCCGCTGGAGAACACCTCGATCCGCCTCGGTCCCGCGCGGCGCCGCAGCGCCCGAGCAAAGATGGCCCGGAGGAACCGGCGTGGGGGCACCGGGAGCGGCCACGAGAGGTGGGCACGGGGGGCACCGGGGGGCACCGGGGATCACCGGGGGGCACCGGGAGGCACCGGGAGGCACCGGGGGGCACCGGGAGGCACCGGGAGGCACTGGGAGGCACCGGGAGGCACCGGGGGGCACCGGGAGGCACCGGAGGGCACCGGGAGCGGCCACGAGAGGTGGGCACGGGGGGCACCTGGAGGCAACGGGGGGCACCGGGAGGCACCGGGGGACACCGGGGGGCACCGGGAGGCACCGGGGGACACCGGGGGGCACCGGGAGCGGCCACGAGAGGTGGGCACGGGGAGCACCGGGAGGCACCGGGAGGCACCGGGGGGCACCGGGGTGCACCGGGAGGCACCAGGGGGCACCGGGAGGCACCGGGAGGCACCGGGGGGCACCGGGGGGCACCGGGAGCGGCCACGAGAGGTGGGCACGGGGGGCACCGGGAGGCACCGGGAGGCACCGGGGTGTAATGCTCCTCCCGGCCGCCAGGCGGCGCAGCGCGCTGTTCCGGCACCTCGCCCGCCAGGCCTCGCTGCTGCACACGAGCCGCTCGCTGACGTCACTGAGCCGCTCGCTCTCCTCCTCCGACTCGCTGCCCGCCTCCCCCACGCATGCGCGGGCGCGCGAGCCCGGTAAGGGGCGGGGCCACTGGAAGGGGCCGGGCCATGGGAGGGGGCGGGGCCACGGGGAGGGCGGGCGGTACCGGGGCAGGGAGAACGGGGGCGTGGTCACGGGAACGGGCGTGCGGTGCCCGGTCCTGGTGCCGGTGCCTGGTCCCGGTGCCCGGTCCCGGTGCCCAGTCCCGGTGCCGGTGCCTGGTCCCGGTGCCCGGTCCCGGTCCCGGTGCCTGGTCCCGGTGCCCGGTCCCGGTGCCCGGTCCCGGTGCCTGGTCCCGGTGCCCAGTTCCGGTGCCGGTGCCTGGTCCCAGTGCCTGGTCCCGGTGCCGATGCCCGGTCCCGGTGCCCGGTGCCGGTGCCCGCTGCCGTTCCCCCCGGCTCTGACCCCGTTCCGCGCAGGGGCCTCTCCGCCCAGCAGCTCGCCCGGTTCCAGCGCTCCGCCGTCACCGGCGGGGCCGCACCTGCGGCCGAGCTCTCTGCAGGGGCTGTCACCGAAGCTGCAGCGGCAGTACCGGGCGGCGCGGTGCCGCTCCGCCGGCAGCATCCCGCTCTCGCCGCTCGCCCACACGCCCTCGCCGCCCGCCGCCTCCCCGCCCGCCTTCCCCGCCAAGCTGCACCCCAAAGCCGCCGAGTCCCCGCGCCTCGCCCGCCGCGGGCTCCCGGAGAAGGCGGCGCCGGGGCCGCCCCGCAAGTTGGGGCTGGAGCCGCCCCGCAAGGACTTCCCGGCCGAGCCGCCGCTGCAGAGCTTGGCCGAGTGGGACGGCGAGGGCCCGGCCGAGCCGCCGCCCGCCGCGCCCCCCGCCCGCCGCCTGGGCCGGCAGGAGCTGCCGCTGCTGCTCGGGGGTCCCCCCGGGGCGGAGCCGCCGCCGCCGGGCCCGGAGGAGCCCGAGCGGGGGGCGCGGGGTCCCCCCAAGGCGCTCAGCCCGGTGCAGGAGCACGAGCGCGGGGGGGCGGCCCCGGGGGGGCCCCCGGTGCCCATCGTGGTGGTGGGACCCGGCGCGACCCCCGGGGACCCCCGGAGCGCCGCGGGCCCCCCCGGGCGCTGAGCTGTACCCGAGCCCCCCAAATCCCGGCTGTAAATAGGGGGGGGCACCCCGGGACCCCCAGGCATGCGGGGGTCGCGCCCCCCCCGGTCCCTCCCCCCGCGTACGCGAAGGGTTAATACTGTGACACACCTCCCCCCCCCGTGTGACGTCACCGACCCGGCACCCCCCTGGTGTGACGTCACCGACCCGGCACCCCCCCCGGTGTGATGTCATCGACCCGGACACCCCCCCACACCCACCCCCGGTCTCCCGTTTGCCCCCGGTTATGGCTCCCGGTGTTCACGTCAGAGCGGTGATGACGTTACAGCACCGATGGCACGGGCGGGGCACGGGCGCTGCTCTGATGTCACTCGAGGTAGGGGTGGTGACGTCATCCCCTCGAGCGTGACGTCACGGCTGCTGCGGCATCGATGATATCACGGCTGTGGCGTCACTGAAGGTGTGAGGGCGGTGACGTCATAGTGACAGCCGGGAGGGGGGTTAGGCACGGTTTCCACTGCGTGGTGACGTCACACGAGAGCCGGCCACGCCGATGACGTCACCAACACCCCGTGACATCATCACAGTCCCCTCCCCCCCCCCCCGTTCTCGCTATGCAAACGCCCCCCGGGCAGGGGGGGTCGGGGGGGTCCCGGGACCCAATAAAGGCTGTACAGCACCGAGCCCCGGTTCTGCTTCGGGGGGACACCGGGGACACCGGGGGGGACACCGGGGGGGATGAAGGACACCGGCCATCGCCCCGGAACCCCCCGGGAGGTGATCTGGGGGTGTCACCGCCCCCCAGCCCGGACACTCACGGGTTAACATCGGTGTTTTCCCGCCACGCCCCCGCCACGCCCCCCCCGCCCCCGTGACGTCACGGTTCCACCGGGTCCGTTCGCCGCCGCGGAGCCCGAACGGTCCGGGGGGGGTGTCGGGGGATTTTGGGGTGTTGGGGACCTCTCGGGGAGCGCTCGGGGGTCTTTGGGGCGAATCGGGGCGCAAGGAAGGTCCCCGGTGGTCTCTGGAGCGAACTGGGGGGCCCTGGGGGTGGAATTGGGGGTTTAAAGGGGGTCTCTGGCGGGAATTGGGGGTCAGGACCGGGGGTCCCTGACCCTCCCGTGTGCCCCCAGCCCCCCATGGCGCTGCGTTTGGCCGCCCGCCTGTCCCGCCTGGCCCGGAGCGGTGTCCGGTGCGGGGGCACCGGGCCCCCCCCGGCACAGGGTGAGTGCAGGGGGGCACGGGGCGAGAGGGCCGGAACGTCCCCGGGAGCCCCCCGGGACTGGCAGCGACGGGGGGGGGACACCGCGAGTCCCCGGTGCTGACCCCGAACTGGGGGGACACCGCGAGTCCCCGGTGCTGACCCCAATCTCCCGGTGCTTCTCCTCCTTCTCCCGGTGCTGACCCCGCCCCTCCCGTTGTTTCCCCCGTCTCTCCCGTTGTTTCCCCCCCTCTCTCCCGTTGTTTCCCCCTCTCCCGGTATTTCCCCCCCCCCTCTCCCGGTGCTTCCCCCTATCTCCCGCTGCTCCCCCTCTCTCCCGGTGTTCCCCCCGCTCTCCCGGTGTTCCCCCCGCTCTCCCGCTATTTCTCCCCCCCTCTCCCGGTGTTCCCCCCTCTCTCCCGGTGTTCCCCCCCTCTCCCGGTGTTTCCCCCCCCTCTCCCGGTGTTCCCCCCTCTCTCCCGGTGTTCCCCCCTCTCTCCCGGTGCTGACCCCCCTCTCCCGGTGCTCCCCCCCTCTCTCCCGGTATTTCTCCCCCTCTCTCCCGGTGCTTCCCCCTCTCTCCCGTTGTTTCCCCTGTCTCTCCTGGTGCTGACCCCCCTCTCCCGGTGCTGCCCCCTCTCTCCCGGTGCTGACCCCCCTCTCCCGGTGCTGACCCCCCTCTCCCGGTGTCCCCCCCCTCTCCCGGTTTTCCCCCCCTCTCCCGGTGTTCTCCTCCTTCTCCCGGTGCTTCTCCCCCCCTCTCCCGGTGCTGCCCCCTCTCTCCCGGTGTTCCCCCCCCTCCCGGTATTTCCCCCCCCCCTCCCGGTGCCGCCCCCCAGTCGCCGCCCCGTTCGACTGGCAGGACGCGCTGGGGCTGGAGTCGCTGCTGAGCTCCGAGGAGCGGCTGCTGCGGGACACGACGCGCAAATACTGTCAGGAGCGGCTGCTGCCCCGCGTGCTGCACGCCAACCGCCACGAGGGTACCCCAAAACCTGACCCGCAACACCCCGAGACAGCCTGACCCCCCCCACCCCGGTACAGCGGAACCCGAACCCCCCGAGCGCCGCCAGAAGCAGCCGGGGCCGGTTCCCACACGAGGGTCCCGCAGCTCGCCCCCGATGTCCCCAGTGTCCCCCTGACCTCCCTCAGGATCCTTCCTCTGCAAAAAACGGAGTTTTGGTATCCCCAAAAATCTCCCGGCCCCCCCAAAACTCCCTGACTCCTCTAAGCTCCCTCCACCAGCCCCCAAATCCTTTCCCCATCTCCCCTCCCGCAGGCCCAGGGTGGGGGCAGGGGTGTAGGGGACCCCCAAATTTCCCCAGGGGGTCTCCCCGCTGCCCCCTCTTAGCTCGACCTCTCCTGACCCCCACCTTGCCCCCCCCCAGTCTTTGACCGAGAGATCGTGACGGAACTGGGAGAACTGGGGCTGCTGGGCCCCACCATTCAAGGTTGGGGGGCCATGGGGACACGAGGGGGGACGTGGGTGGGCAGGGACGGCCCGTGGGGCTCCCGAGGGGGTTTTTGGGGGGCTCAGGGGCAGATGGGATGGGTTGTGTGTGCGGGGGGACAGCTCTGGGGGGTATTGGGGGTCAGGAATGGGGTTTGGGGGCTCTCTGGGGGGCTCACGGGGGGCAGGAATGGGGTTTGGGGGCTCTGTGGGGGGCTCACGGGGGGCAGGTTTGGGGTGACATCGGGGGCTCTGAGGCATGGCGCTGTCCCCAGGGTGGGGCTGTGGGTCGGGGGTGACACCGGGGTCCCCGAGGAGACCCCCGGGACCCCCTGAGTGACCGGGCTGGGGTCACCGCAGGGTACGGCTGCGCGGGCACCACGTCGGTGGGCTACGGGCTGGTGGCACGGGAGCTGGAGCGGGTGGACAGCAGCTACCGCTCGGTGCTCAGCGTGCAGTCCTCCCTCGTCATGTTCCCCCTCTGGGCCTACGGGACCCCCGCCCAGCGCCAGCGCTTCCTGCCCCGCCTCGGTGAGCCCCCCGCCGCGGGAGGGGCAGCCGGGGGGTACAGGGGGCAGAGGGGCGTTTGGGGGGCGTGCCAGGGGGTTTGGAGGAGGAGTGGGGTGTGCGGGGCGGTGCTGGGGCACTTGGGGTGTCCCCCGGGGTGTCCCTGACGCCCCCTCCCCAGCTCGGGGGGAGATCGTGGGGTGCTTCGGGCTGACGGAGCCCAACCACGGGAGCGACCCGGGGCGGATGGAGACGCGGGCACGGCACAACCCCGGCGCCGGCACCTACACCCTGCGCGGGTCCAAGACATGGTGAGGCTCGGAATCGGGGTGAGGGGGACACGGGGGACCCCCAGAGCTCCCCTTGACCTTCCCCGAACCGCCCAGGATCACCAACTCGCCCATAGCCGACCTGTGCTTGGTGTGGGCCCGGTGCGAGGAGGACGGGCGGGTCCGGGGCTTCCTGGTGGAGCGCGGGACCCCCGGGCTCAGCACCCCCAAAATCGAGGGCAAGTTCTCCCTGCGCGCCTCGACCACCGGCATGATCCTCCTGGATGAGGTGGAGGTGCCCGAGGAGAACGTGCTGCCCAACGCCGAGGGGCTGGCGGTAAGGGGGCAGCCGGGGCACCCCGGGGAGGGGTCCCGGGGCACGGGGGGGGGTCCCGATGACACCCCCTGTCCCCAGGGCCCCTTCGGCTGCCTGACCCAGGCGCGGTACGGCATTGCCTGGGGCGCGCTGGGCGCTGCCGAGGCCTGTCTGGAGACGGTGCGGCAATACGTGCTGGACAGGTAACGGGGGGCTGGGGGTGTTTTGGGGGGGGTCCCACCACCCCAGACCTCAGTGCCCCCCTCCCCCGGCCGGCAGGAAGCAGTTTGGGGGCCCGCTGGCCCGGAACCAGCTGGTGCAGAAGAAGCTGGCGGACATGGTGACGGAGATCACGCTGGGGCTCCACGCCTGCCTGCGCCTCGGTCGCCTCAAGGACGAGGGCAGGTGGGTGGCACTGTCCCCAAGGGGCCCGGGGGGCCCTGGAGGGGGTCAGCGTGTCCCCGTCCGTGTCCCCACAGGGCCGCCCCCGAGATGGTGTCGATGCTGAAGCGGAACTCGTGCGGGAAGGCGCTGGGCATCGCGAGGGATGCGCGGGACATGCTGGGGGGCAATGGGATCTGCGACGAGTTCCACGTGATCCGGCACCTCATGAACCTCGAGGCCGTCAACACCTACGAGGGTACGGCGGGGAGGGGCACGGGGGGTCCCCGAGGGGTTTGGGGGTTCCTACTGAGGGGTGGTGATCCCTGCAGGCACCCACGACATCCACGCGCTGATCCTGGGCCGCGCCATCACCGGCATCCAGGCCTTTGCCCCGGCAAAGGGGACGTAGCGGGGACGTGGTGGCACCAGTGGCACCGACGGGGACCGGGGCTGCTCCTCGTGGGAAGGGATGTGAGGAGATGGTGGCGCTGACCGGAGCCGGTGTCACCAAGCGGACCCAGGTACCCCCGGAAGGGATCCAGTGCCGCTGACAGGACCCGGTGTCACTGACGGGACCTTGTGTCACCAGCCAGGCCTCGTGTCACCAGTGGGTCTCAATGTCACCCCAAACAAATCTCGTGTCACTGGCGGGACCCGGTGTCACCAAGCACATCTTGTGTCATTGATGGGACCCAGTGCCACCGACCAGACCTCCTGTCACCAACGGGACTCAGCGTCACCGACAGGACTCGGTGTCACTCAGGGGACCCCACTGGTGCTGGGCCCCGTGTCCGGTGCCATCTCGGTGCCTGTGCCAGTCCTGTGGCCAATAAACGGTGGGACAGCCCCTCCATGCCAGCCCTGCTCGTCAGCATTAATTAACCTGCCAGGATCCAG